CTGTAATAAAATATAATTGAATTGAAATTAAATAGAGATAAGAACAGTAGCTGTGATATTCATTTTTATGGAGCCTAGTTCGGCACTAAAGGCAGGTCGACCATCCTGCCAAGTCTTAGTTTGCTTCATACAGCTTTGGTGTATTTTTAGTTCTGTTGCCCTGAGGGTATTTTAGTGATTCAAAAGGATTTCATGAAGCATTGCACTGTTTATTTTAAAAGATATATCATAATATCATCCACGAACAAGCTGTATGAGTCTGTTGATTGATTTCTCTTCCTGTGATTGAGTTTCTTGTCTAATCCAAGTGGAATCTTTCAGTTGAGCCATTCGTTTGAATCAGCTGTGAGATTTTTATAAATCGCTTTAATGCACTGAATGGCCTTTTCATTAAATCAAAATCCTCCTAATGTTAAATAGATTATTAACTTTGTCGAATGATTTTTCTGCGTCTAAACGGATCCAGACAGCTGATGTTTGATTTACTTGTATTCTCTGTATTACATGTAATGTGCTCCTCATATTGTCTCATGTTTGTCTGCGCCTTACAAACCCCGTTTGATATTATAGAGGTATATGTGTTATACTCTACACTCAGGATAGTGATTGCTCTTTAATTTTGACATATTTCGTGTTTGTTTGTTCTTGGTTTGGGAAGTACGGTAATGACAGCTTCCTTCCAGCAGGGGGAGTACTTTCATTATTTAAAATGCAGTTAAAATAATGAAAGTATGTTGATGTTTTTTTTGTTTTTCTTTTGTGGCTTTATTCTGCCTGTTTCAGATCTTCTTGTAGATGTATATATTCTGTTATTTTCTCTTTTATAAGATTGCTTGAAAGTGGAAATATTTGACCCCATATCACTGCTTTTAATGCAGCCCATAGTCGACATGACTATGGGAGGAAATCTTAGTGTGTTAGCTACGAGTACCGCTGCTGCTCTTTTCCTTGACTTGCTATGTGAGCTCTAGTAGATATTGTTAAAACCATTTCTTTTCCCCGTGTTGTGTTCATGATAAACGGTCTCCTGTAGGATGTTTATCTGTGTCCTTTCTTAGTTCAGTCATAATTCTAACCCTTAACTGAGTTTCCCCGACCGCTGACATTTAATGTTAAGATTTTGATCTCCCCATGTTTCATCTCCATGTTTTACTAATTGACTAATTAGTAAAAACTAATTAAAGCGCTTTGAGTGAGCAGAAAAGCGCCAGATAACAACCAGTTTGTTTACTATTTACTTGCTCTATGTCCATTTGAAGCTGTGGTGGGGCGTGGTCTGCAATGCCGCTGCAGGGAAGATGGACGCACCTGCGCGGAACCTGCAATCACGCCTCGCCGGCACAAAGGCTGCGCTCTCTGTCAGTACATCGTCGTTGTGACGCGAGTCGGGCTGTGAGCTGGAAAGCTGCAGCCGACTGAGTCGTGAACAACAACCAAGTCAATAAAGACGTGGTCGGCTCTGTCGTGGGTTCTTTACAGAAACAAATAACTACGTCTCACTAACCTGGGCGCCTCTTCCACTACCTTCTGGTTCCTCCTCTGGATGGAGCACTCCCTCTCATTGAGCCACAGAGCATTTCCATGTTTATCAGCCAACACCTGAAACAGGTTTTCAAATCAACACACTATGTGGTTTACACTGAACATGCCTGCATGTTAGAGCATCTGTCACTAAATCCAGAAAATTATTCTTTAAAATCTAAAAACTTTATTAAAAACAAACAAACACTAAATTCACACTTAGATCCTCAAACGTGAGCTGGTACAGTGACCTTTAGAAAAAAAATCATGTTTCTCTTCAGGAAAGCAAGAAAACCCTTCAGCATCTGAGTCAAACAATAATCATGTGTTTTCCTATTTTGCATAATAACAAATATTATGTTTTAATGATTTTGGTAAAAAC